GTGTGGCCTTATGACACACTTCCGGTGATGTGCAGGGGGTGTGGCCTTATGACACACTTCCGGTGATGTCAGGGGTGTGTGGCCTTATGACACACGTCCGGTGATGTCAGGGGGTGTGGCATATGCTAATGAGTTATGCTAATGAGTTCCCCTAGCTCTTTTTCTATGAAACGACCCCTGCCGGTATGTGTGTGCCTAGCCAGCTAATCACTTCATGGAAGCAGGGTTTTTTTGTTATGCCGAAATGCTTGCTTGCAGCATCTGGTGAAGGTGTGGGGGGGAGGTGCCTGCATGCTAGAGGAGATGTCTGCTCATGGAGTTTCTGTTCAGCTGAGATGCCATGGCGTTTCTCTGTAGCAAATGGCTTACTGGCTTCTATGTGTTTTTCGTGGCTAGGGTGCTTGGCTCATCTCTGCTACATTGCAGGTGAGGGGTGGCAGGTAACCCATGGATCCACTCTTGGTCTGGCACATCGTCTCAGGAAGAGGCTTCCCTCAGCTGGGCGCGTGTTCACAGTCCATGTAGTTGGCATCAGCACGTGTTCACCGCACATTCAATTTCCCTTGGCACACTTATTGCACAGTCCATGAGAGCGTTATCCTAACCTTTAGAAAAATTAACTAACAAGTGAGGTAGCTTGGAAGGGGGGACACAAATCTCTATGCTGTATTATGCTCAAGAAAATGCAAAGATGGGGATGGATATTCCCCTAGTTCAAACCTCTCCCTATCCTGATCCCCGTGCAACAAGAGCAGAACAGGACACATGATTTCTTTCACAGATTGAAACAGTGGGGCTGACACTGTCCAAAGTGAGAGACTTTGGGATGTGTGTGCGGGTTCCAACTTTTGGGAGAACTGAAGACTGTAGTCAAGAGGTGGCTTTTTTCTAACAAGACCCATTTTCTTTGTTCACAGGAGATGAAATCTTGGAACTGAATGGAGAATCCATGCACAGCCTAACACATTACGAAGCCTTGCAGAAATTCAAGGTGATGTTCCTGCACAACATTTTCTCTTTTTTTACGTACACAAACATACACAGCAGCAGCTGGTAGATAAGTTTTATTCACGGTCATTGACCAACAACAGCAGCTGGTATAAATGAATAGTTCCTAGTGCACCCTTCTTTCTAGCAGGCCAAGAAAGGTCTTCTCACACTCACAGTGCGGACGAGCCTCAGCACACCACACTCAGCAGCCACCTATTTATCATCCCACCTCTGCCGTTCATTGAGTGCCACTGTGTGCACCACCAAAGGAAACAGCTCCTTCAACTCAGAAAGCACCACGTTCTCTTTAAACACCACCAATCCCAATGACAGGATCATCATGGAAGTTTCCTTAAACAAAGGTGAGTGTATTAAAAAAAATTACACCAGCAAAGAGCAGAATCAGCAGTGCCATTTTTGAATCTGTTTTTCCAAGTCCATGTTACTGAGAGAGAAAGGAGAATTCAATAAGGGGATACCATATTTTGCAGCATCCCTATGCACTAGCTGCAGCCTTAGATGTAATGTTTATTTGAAAGAGAACCAGTATATCTATCAGCATTTACGAGATTCTGTATTTAATGGCTTTTATGGACAATTTGGATGGAACAGTTTAGCCTGATCTTGTCAGATCTCGGAAGCTAATCAGGTTTGGTACTTGGATAGGAGACTACCAAGGAAGTCCAGGGTTGCTACGCAGAGGCAGGCAATGGCAGACCACTTCTGTTTATCTGTTGCCTTGAAAACCATTTGGGGTTGCCATAATTCAGCTGCAATGCTCCTCCATCACCACGAGCAATTTATATACTTTCTTTTACAGCTCATATTTGTCTTCTGTATTTCTAATATTGTTTCCCAGAGGTTGGTGTTGGTTTAGGGATTGGATTATGCAATATCCCTTACTTCCAGTGCATATCAGGAATATTCATCCATACCCTTTCTCCAGGCTCTGTGGCTCACATGGATGGAAGGCTCAGGTATGGCAAGTTAATTGGCTTCCTCAGCATTCAGGTGCAGTAATGGGCCAACTACACATTATGTTTTTGACACATTGAAGCAGTTAGTTGCGCACCATGCTGCTGAGAATTTATTTTCCACATTCCCAGCGCCCCAAGTTGGGCCAGGAAAATGACATGGGGGTGGGGAGGCTGAAGTCCTTCCCCATGCACTTGGGAAATGAAATCCCAGCAATGATTCAAAGTCTGGTCGGGAAACCAGGACATGATACACCAAAAAATGTAATGTACAGTTTGGCCCTTATATTCACATCTGTTAAAACTCAGTCTAATCCTTCTGAAAGTTGTAGATTTTTTAAAAATGCAATTGTCACACAGGAAAAGAACCACAGGGTAAGGGAACTTGAAAGACAAGCCCACTAATGTGTATCCATAAGTGATGCATTGGATCAAGTGCTTCCCAAAGAAACCTAAGGGCATGTTTATGGTGCCAATTTAAACCATTTGAACCCAAGACTGATTCCAGTTGTCTATCAACAACAGCCCTGACCCTCTTGCCATGCCAAGCATGATTATTCGGACTCTGTACACTTTCCACAGCTAGTACTGAGAAAAACACACTAACTAGCCCAAAGTATACCATGAACCGCACTTCCACACCCTCCGTATTCACAGCAGGAAGAATTTCAGCAAACTCAGACACTGAAAGGACAGTCAGTAGGCAGGCAAGAAGGAAACTGTGGGTATGCAGCAGATCTTAAAAGCATGTATCACTGCACAGGTCTGTTTCCTGCTAAAGGCACTATGGGAGAAACTTGCAGAGAAATCAAGCAAGTGTAAAATAGTAACAGGTGCATGAGAACTGCAAGTGCTGCGTATACTGCATGGTCTCTAGATATTCTCCTGAGCAAATTTCCCTCCGCCATCCACTGATATGCAACCTGTATTCTCTACATGCATTAAGGAATGTGCAGGCTTGGTCTGGACCCCCCTCCCCATGTCAGATGCCACATGATCACATATGAATGGTGGGTTCTCTTTAGTTCCTGTGCATGTAGTGCCCGGTTAGGATCAGGACCATGGTGCAAATAAACAATGTGCTTTACTCCCCCTCCCCCGCACCATTTTCCCGGTCTGAAACAGCCCCAAAGGACTGCTGTTTGGAGAAACCAACATGTGCCCTGGGATATATGTGGTTTTCCTCCTGGAAAGCTCCAAAGCTTGCCTGATAGTATATCGACAATGACATCCGTTCATGGTTGTTAATTTGATGAAACAAAGAGCCTTCAAAAGGGGAACACTTTCCGTGGAAAAATAAAGTACTGGAAAATATTCTGCCTCACACCTCTGACAATCAGTGAATTCAGGAGCCATGAGATTTCAGTGGTGGCATGTGAACATGCCATATTTCATCTACTTATCTCAAAATAAAGTATCAGGCTATCCAAATATAATCTTAATTTTCATCCAAAAATGTGTAGCTACAGTAGTTTGTCAGATTACTGTACGCAATGTGTACCCTGACCTGGACGGCCCCAGCTAGCCTGAACTGGTCAGATCTCAGAAGCTAAGCAGGGTCGGCCCTGGCCAGTACTTGGAGGGGAGACCCCCGAGGGCATTCAGGGTTTCCTGTGCAGAACCAGGAAATGGCAAACCAGCTCCCTTCGTCTCTTGCTTTGACAGTCGGCTGCGACTTGATGGCACTTCCCACCATCACCACCACCCAGGCAGGGCTATTTTTGGGCAGGAACACACAGGAACGGAGTTCCGGCTGGCTTCAGAGTTTGCCACACCCACTACAGCCAAAACCTCTGCACATGTGTGGCTACAGAGGGAAGGCCTGGAGAGTGACACCCCCATGAGGGCTCTGAGGTTGGCAGGCCTGGGGGGCCCTGGAAGGATCGCAGAGGCATTTAAATGCCTCCCTGTGTGTCCCCTGGCCTGTCCAAGGGCCGGCTTGCCTGGGCTCCCTGCACGGGATGTGACCTAATATGCTAATGAGTTGTGCTGTCGGGGGTGTGGCCTAATATGCTAATGAGTTCCTGCTGGGCTTTTTCTACAAGAAAAACCCCTGCACCCAGGTAACATCTACAAACAATAGTTTCTGCTGATCTGCAGTAGAGCTTCAAGCGCCTTACCTTGGTAGAGACCAACAACATTTTCAGGGTGGAAGCTTCTGAGAGTCAAAGCTCCCTTCGTCAGATGTTCTTTGATTTTACTAGGTAATGGTGAAGGGAGCTTTGACTCTTGAAAGCTCACACCCCCAAAATCTTGTTGAACTCTAAGGTGCTCCTGGACTCAAATCTCGCTTATCTAAAACAATCAAGATCAGACATTGAAAAGATGGTGAGGAAGGGCGGCATGGCCCCCTAAGTAGCACCCAGGGTCCCCCGGCCCCCCAGGACCCACTGATAGGCCTGGTGCTGGGTCAGGCAGGCTCCAGGTTCCCACATTCGCTGCCAGCCCACCCCCTCCACCCGGGAAGGACCACCCTGGCCACCCTTGCGCTGCCCCCTCCCCTCTGGGTGAGTCCAGGCCCTGGTTTGTCTAGGAACAATCAACCTCATATTATTTGCTTAAAAATCTTTTTTCTTATGTCCTTTTTGGAAGATGTGGAGATGAAATTGTAGAGGTCAATGAGGCCCCTGTTCAGAGTATGACGCTCAACGAGGTCCATGCAGTCCTTAGCCACTGCAGCCCCGGCACTGTGCAGATAATCCTCAGCAGGCACCCTGACCCGCAGGTAAGACGAGAAACCTCCCTGAAGCCATCCATAGCTGGTTGTCAGGAGGACTGGGAAGAACTTTGCCTTGCAAATTATGCATTAAAAGCCAGTCTTCATTTTTATTAAATTGTTTCAGAAGCTACACCCAGTTTGTAGGTCCAGGGGGCTAGGGCTCCTGTTCCCAGAATCACTCAGCTGTACCCACTCCCCTACATGCATAATTTCTATCCAACTAAAGGACTCCATACAACAACGTTAAACATGCAATTCTAGCAATAAAACAGTTAAGCCAGCTACTAATCATCTTAATTAATCAGAAGATAAGAAGAGCCCTGCTGGATCAGGCCAGTGGCCCATCTAGTTCAGCATCCTGTATTCTACAGTGGCAAATAAGATAGAGGCTGAGGCTTGCCCCTGACACTGCCTCCTAACAGAGATTTGTTGCCTGTGTATACGGAGGCTCTCTTCAGTCACCAAGGCTAGTAGGTGTTGATGGACCTCTCCTCTGTGAATATGTCTAACCCACTTCTAAAGCCATCCATGCCTATGGCCATCACTATAGACTATGGCAACAAATTCCACAGTTTGTTTAATCGTTGAGGAAAGACATAACTCCTTTTGTCCATCCCAAATCCCAGCTCTGCTGGGTGCCCCTGAGTTCCAGTACTACGGGAAAGGAAGAAACAGCTCTTTTTATCCATTTTCTCCACCCCATGCATAATTTTAAGAACCTCTGTCATGTATCCTCAGACACATAAAATAAAATCAAACACACCAGGAACAAAAGCACAAAAAGAAATAAAACCCAGCAATCACCAGAAAATGTTTTTTTAAAAGTCATCAAGCACAGGTCAGTTCAGCAGTCACCAGAATAATCTGAGAAAGTATGGCTTTCACAAACCTCCAGGTGGCCAGGAGCAGCAGGGCAAGAAGACAGGTGTTACTAAACATGGGGTTCTAAAGCTTAGGGCACACCACTGAAAAAGCCCTGCTGCCCCTCCATGCCCCAAACTTCCTCTCTCCCAGTAGGGATGAGGTGAGCACACCATGCACACACCTATAGTAATGATTTGATTTGGAATTCTTGTTCCTCAGAAATGGGGGTGGGGGAGAGAACAGGCAGATCCAGGTGTGATAACACATGAAGCATATGCCTCACAGGAGAAACTATGCACATAGGGGAGGGGCGTGCGCAATTGCTTCAACACATCAATTAAGAGCACATATGTAGTAACTGTCAGAATGAAAGCTGAGGGATGTTAACTTTTTTGGGATGCTTGACCATGCCCAGATGGATTAAAGTACCTGCTCCTGCTCCTACACCTGACAGACACCCGCCTGCCTGGTGTTGGGGTGATTATGTTTAAAGGCATCAGGGAGGCTGGGCCAGCAGTAGGGCTAAGGCAATCTTGCTGAGCAAACCTCCCCAGCAGCTGTAAGCATCCCACCTCCTCTCCTACACCTGACAGGCAGCTGCCTGTCCAGTGTAGGAGGGGGAGGGGGGAGAAGTATTAGAAACCACTGGGGGGGCAGCAGGATCACTAAGGCGTTACTGCTGGTGTGGGCTCCCTTGTGGCTTTAAGCACCCTGCAACCGCTGCTGCACCTGACAGACAACCGCCTGTTAGGTGTAGGAGGTGGGGGACGTGTGTTGGAAGCCATCAGAGAGGCTGGGCCAGCATCACCGCTAAGGTGATCCTGCTGGGGCAGTGTCCCTGATGGATTAAAGTACCCTGGTCCTGCTCGGACACCTGACAGACACCCGCCTGTCTAGTGTTGGGGGGGAGGGTGTTTAAAGGCATCAGTGAGGCTGGGCTAGCAGCAGTGCTAACGCAGACCTGCTGAGCAAGCATCCCTG